AAAAAAAAACAAAACAAAAAAACAGAAAATGCACTAATTTGTGTGTATTCTAATGACAAAAAAAAAAAATCTCTTGTAAGACAACTAAATATTATAGGAAAAAACGGGGGAGACAATGAAAACTATTACCACAGGGACCAATTAGTAAGTTTACTATCTAAAAAGAACATTAAATTTAAAAATCATGTCAAAAATTAAAAAGAAACTCATGTCAAGAAAATTGTTCATTGGCCGGGTATTTAGCTCAGTGGTTCCGCTCCTGCCTCGCAAGCACAAGAGCCTGAGTTCGATCCCCAGCGAACACACACACAAAAAAATTGTTCATGGGCCAGAGATTTAGCTCAGTGGTTCCACCATCTGCTTCACAAGCGCAAGGACCCAAGTTCAATCTCCAGTACCAAAAAGAAAAAAAAAAAAGTTCATAATATCAGCATTATTCAAGAACATGCACCCTGCTTCAGAATATTCCCAAATTAAATTTAGCCAAAATTAAAATTTTCTAATTGTAAGACTGAGAAAAATATCTTAGAGACTATCTTAGAGACTATTATATTCGGGTAGATCATGTCGCAGGCGAATTGCTTTCAGCTTTTCCACTTCAATTTTTGCTCTTAGTAGCTCTTCCTCAAGTTGCTGCCTTCTTTTCAATCCATCCCTCTTCTCCTGAACATATAATCCAAAATTTTTTTGATTTTCTAATATTATCTGATGCTCCTCTTTCAACATTTGTAGGACCTGAGGATCATACCCTGATAGTGACCTAATGTGTTCTCCACTCTCATGCTGAAAAAAATCATCTCTCCTTGGTACAGAAGATGGAGACGATGTCATTCTCATATCAACGGAGGAAAGTGATGGTGACAAAGATCTTTCCACAACATGTATTAATTCATGTTCTTCTCTTTGCTCTAAAGTATTACTATGTTGAGGATTTAAAACCAGCGGAGGAGGTTTAATGTCTTCTTCTTGTTTTACCTCCACTGTAATAGCAACAGGATGGTGATCCAACATTACCTGTAGTGAACTGGTACCAGCTTGTGCAGCCTCATCCAAGTTTGAACTATAGCACATAAAAAAAGCATTATAAAATGTAAATCAAAGAGTATATGTATAGCATAATTTCATATTTAATATACATTAATTATAAAGCTGTAACAAAAAATATGACTCAAAAGTTGAATCCTGAGAGTAACAAATTAAAGTGACTAAGATTAAGATGTGAAAAATAAATACATATAGGTCTACTCCATCCTTAACCTTTCTTTGGTTTTGCTTTGTGGTGCTGTGGATTGAGCCCATATAGCCTGTGGCATGCTAGGTAAGTGCTCTACCACTGAGCTACATCCTTAGCCTTCCACCCTTAACTCTATAATTCAGATTTTAAAAGGGTAGGCATTACAAATACTTTAGAAGGGTAATGAGGTAAATAAGAAAATCAATTTTTAATGCTCTCAAAGAAACATCAATTATCCCTATAACCTTTTTTTGGGTTCTAAAATGGTGAAAAGATAAAGGTGCAAGATCCCAATGATGAATGTGACTGTACTGTATACCTAAAATGTACCAATAAACTCAATTAAAAGAAAGAAATAAATAAAATGGTGAAAAGGGTCATTTCATGCTTTCTGGGCCTTGCTATTCCTACACCTTAGCACTAGACCTCCTGCTGTTCTCCCAGAGTGATCTAAAACATCAAGACCTGTAACTTCTAAGAAAATAGTGGAAAACCATCTATAGAAGGCACTAATTTCTGCCTTTTCATAACTATCTGGAGATTAGCCTAATTATCTTATTTCAGATAGGATGGCGTTTCTCTTTTACCTATCCTGAACAGCATATGAGTTAAAGTTCATAGGAGCAAGGGTTTTATCCATCACTATATACTCAGCACCTAGCATAATAAAGCAATGTACTTTAAAACATAGAAGATGCTCACTGCATGCCGAATACATTAATGAACAAATAATTTTTTAGGTCAACTGTTTCTAAATGCCTTCTATAGATATGTTTATTAAATTTACACTCATATGAATTCCTAATAGAGCCAACTAAGGTTTTAGCATAACTTAAACTTTAGCATTATATTTTTTTTCATTTTATAAACACAATGCACTTTAAAATTTTTTTCATGTGCAAATTAATTGTTAACAATATATAAGCCTTTTTTTTTTTTCAATTTATGCTTCTGCCTAACTTAAAAATAAAAGTTACAGGAGGAAGAGATTATTGAGATATTAATAGAATCATGTCAACATTACTTAGAGAACATTTTATAAATGATAAGTAACATCATTAACAATACATTCTACTTGGAAGATTAAAATGCTGGAGTAAATTCAAGTACAACATAAGGGAAAAAAATTAGAACTCCCCATATGTCACTATTGGCACAAAATTGCCAGAAATAACAGATATTTGCCAAAGAGGTAGAAATGAAGGAACTCAACCATATATAGAGAGAGCATATAGTAATCTCTTTGAAAATTAAATCTTTTTGTTTTTCTTCGTCTTGTTTTTGTCGTTTTATATGTTCCAAAAACAAAACAATGGTCTATAAATGTAATTCAAATTAGGAAGATTTGCTTCTATTAATATTTTTACTAAAACCTAGAATGGGAAAAGGTTAAAGATACAGATGAAAAAAATTTTAAATCTACATAATTACTATTCAAAATTAGAACATAAACATAACATATCTCCATGTAAATTAAAAATATGCTTATACTGGGCTGGGGATTTAGCTCATGGTTCCACTGCCTGCCTCAAAAGCACAAGGACCCGAGTTTGATCCCTGGTACCAAAAAAAAAAAAAAAAATGCTTATATTACACTCCATTTTAGTTAAAACATTACAAGTCAGGAATACCAAATTTTTTTAAAAAAGCCTTAGAGAAGTTCATAAAAATGATAAAGGACTTGTAAAATTTATGAATCTAAATAAGAAAATCAAAAAAGTTATAAAAACAAAGTATAATCTGGTATTAGAGGTTAAAAAAGACATGATCAATGTGAGTTATAGCACCAGACTTACAAAAAGTTACATATTTTAAAATAAATTTAGTAATATAAGCAGTGATATTTCCTTATAAAGAAGGCACTGGTAAGATTACTGTCATATTTATATAGAAACATAATTAAGATTACAGAAGTAATTATAAACAAGATAATTATTAAGATTCAAGACATCAACTGAATAAGTACAAGAAAGATAAAAACATATTTAATGATTAAGTTATTATGGAGAAAACATCAATTAGACACTAATATAGGCAAGAATTTAAATGGTATAGTTCTTGTATTTTTCTCTTCAAAATCTAATATTTAAATAATAGGTAAAGAAATGTATAAATCAGTTAATCTGTTTCTATCAGAGAAATGTTGGTATCCTGAAGAATTGTGTGTACATTTATAACATAGGTATATACACACAAAAAGTGTAAACAGATACTTGCATATTTATTTTTCTTCTATACTTGTATTTTTAAAATATTCAACTATCTAAAACTAAAGTTTCTATGTGTGGTTTTGAAATTATTAAAAATCTAAATTTAATAACCAAAAGATACAGTTTTATGCCTGTAAAGCAAAGGCCATAATTCTCCAGTTTTGGGGGGAGATACAGGGTGGAAATTTGGAAGAGACAGCACAACATAAAACAGTTTTACTGTGGAGTTCACTGGACATCCCATATATTAAAATTTCATCATTTGTCATCATAGTGAATATTTTAACCAGTGGCCTCAAGTATTAATCCAATATGAATCCACGTCCTGGATACCACTGGCAATATTTTTTTTACTGCACTATCTAGTTGAAATAAGCAATGTACGCCAAGAAGCTTAGCTCAAAAATATTTTCCTAATAAGTCACAAAAATAACAGCTACATTTCACTAAAAAGTTTTTCCTCTATTTCTTGCCTAAATTCAAAGAACGTTCACAGGTAATCAATAGTTTTGCTTATATAAATAATGTCTCTCCTACCAGTAAGAAAGCACACTGTGTAAAGCTTTGTTTGAAAGGCCCCTCAACCAACACGGAGTTTACAGTTTGTTTACATTACCCTAAATGGTTCAGGAGAATGTAGCTGCCATTTTTTATCTTCTGCCAAGTGTTGAAATTTGAATTAGTAGCAAGGTAATACTTTGAAGATTCCCAGGTAAATACTAGTTATACAGAACATAAATCTAACCTGAAAATTACTTCTAACCCTAAAAGAACTCGGTTGCTGTAATGGGTATGTTTAAATTCCTAGTTTGAGATCTTTGCAAAGCAATATGAGAAAGCTTAACTTTCCTGTATGACCCAAGACCAAAGTGAAACTAGACCATTAAGGAATAAAAACAAAAACTTTTAATTTTATTATGTAATCTTAATCTCCAATTAGGCATTAACTCCCTAAAGTTGTTTTCATCTTATTTTAAGTATGTTCTAAAAATAATTTAACCTGTTTTCATGTAATGTCATTAATAACTTTACTTCATTGTTGATTTCAGTACTGTCAGTTTAAAGCATATTCAGTAAGTATAGACAGACAATTCATACAAAAGCAAAGGTTCCATTTCTCTGCCAGTTAACTTTATATAAATTTTATATAAAATTCAAAGATCCAACGAACTGTAATCTTAAATGAGAAAAAAAGTATCTCTCTGAAGCAAATTAAATAACTTTAAAGCTTAAAAAGTTTATGAAGTTAGGTCATAAATTTCATCCCATTTATTCATCCTTAACCTTTACTTTTAGAAATTATAGAAAGGAAGGGGGAGGGGAACACAGTTAAAAACTGGCTTAAATCAAATGCAGCAGAAAAATCCTTATAGCCTCACTGTTCTTTTTTTAAGAAAGCAAAACAAAGACACTATTCATTGCTCCCGTAGTGGGGATGCTTACTATGCATATCTCTTTCACAGCTAAGCCAAAGCCCAATAGATAGGAGGCGCCATAATTTTCCACAACAAAATAAAATAAAGCTTACCTTTGTATGTGGTTCCTGTCTCTTACCAGGCAAAAACTGGAAATCTGGGGAATCATCTCCATAACTTTCTTGGTTGGCTCAGAAATATTGCTTTTAAAATCTGATTGGGCCTCTTTTTGCTGCAATAGCTCCTGTTTGGCATATTCTTTGAGCCTTTTGTAAAGGGTTCGTAGGCCCTGCGCTGTTCGAGGAGGGCGGTCTACTCCAATTGCATTATAGTTAACTGCTATGATATCCCAACATCTATTCTTTTCCACTATCACTGAATGTTTGTTAGTGTGTTCTTCGAGAATTTTCACATATGGCTTCACAAGCTTTAGTAAATCAAGCTTTTCAGATAAGGTAAAATTGGAAGATCTAGCCTTTCCTACCATTGTTCTTTTCAAATTAAGTAGGCAGTGTCTGAAAACACCACGCAGCCTTCAGCTCTGCTCAGCTCTTTTCACAAACAGAAAAAAGATCAGGCTTAACTAGGCTAGCCTCATTTAGGCCCACGCCTACAGGGGAGGGTTTATTAAAATTCCTCCAGCTTAAACTGACGCAGGTTCAGGAAATCTGCTTAAACCAAGCCTGACCTACATAAAGCTTCTCACTGAAGACAGGAAGGCACAAGCAAAACACACTTGTGTATAAAGAGAACCGCTGGAGATAGGATTTAATGCACAAAGGTCTAGAGATAAGCATGGAACACAGCTAAAAATTAGCTAATTTAGTGAGAAAATCGAATTTCCACGTATGTATGCCTGGCTGATAAGACTGAAACTGCAATGCAGTTATCACTTAATAAAAACAAAGAAGGAAATGTTTTGTGCTATTCGTTTACGAATTCAACACACAGAAAACTAAAAGATATAAGTGGTGAAAACAAGGATTCCTAACAGATCTAATCACTGTTTCAGAGCAGGGTGTTCTCCCTGACAAAATCTGCATAATGCTGGTCCTGCTGTCAATCAGGAATTGCATATCCTCTAGCTAGTTAGGTTACACCCAGCTCAGACTACACAGTAAAGCTAAGCTGCTTTCTCCTTCATTTCACAGTCTGCATCAGCCTCTGCATATTTTCAGTTAAGAACACTAACTCTCAAAACCAGGTAAACATTACATTCTAAACCAATGGATTATTCTAGTTGCACATTGTGTGAATATACCAGCTTGTTTGATCATGTTATGAAAGAGCAGGATTTTTTTTATTTAGGTATAACCACATGACCTAGACTATAAAGGAAACGCCTAATTTAGCCATTTGCAAAGTTATCAGTTTACTTGCTTACACCTGGTCTGAAAACATATGAAAAATTATATAAACAAAACAAACCTACTTTCTCATGATAGACATGTTTCTCCAGTTAGGGATATTAATTAAAAGCATGCTTGAACATGGTTCATTCAGTTCAGTCAAACAATTACCAAACACCTATAAAAACTCTCCCAAGCACTGTGCAAGGCCCAAGGAAAAGGTAAAGGTCCATCCAGATACAACACTTATACAGCTATAGAAAGGCTATAAATTCTCAATTTCCTTGTTTTCATTCTTTTAATCAAAAATTTCATTCAATTAAATTTACCGAGGTCTCACTTTGCACCAGACAATATGCTAAAGTTTTAAATACATTATGTCAAAAAAATTAAAAAATAAAAGCAAGATTGCTGTATGTTCCATAGAATAATAGTACCTGTTGCCTGGCATACCCTACTAGACAATCTGATTCTGTAATAGCCCTAGCTTCTACTCCCTTTGAGCAGTTTTACATCTCAGTAAATTGTAGAAAATTACCCCAGGTTGAGTATCCCTTATCCAAAATACCTGGCACTGAAACCATCTCAGGTTTTGGATTTTCTTCAGATTTTGGAATATTTTCATAAATATGAAATGAGGAATCAACTAAAGCCTAAACACAAAATTCATGTGTTTCAGATATAGCTTATATACATAGCCTAAAAGTAAATTTAGGCTATTTTTTTATTCATTAAGTTTACTAGTTCTCTTTAGGTATAGAATATGACGACATTCATCATTGGGGATTTGCACCCTTTACATGACATATATTAGTTCTTATCTTTTACCCTATTTCAATACCCTGCCTTCAACCACTCCACTCCTTCTGTTTGTTTTTTTTTTTTCCTTTTCTCATATTCCTTTTATACCTGTATTTCAACCATAACTGGTCACCACAAGAGATTAAAGAATGGAATTTTCTACCTTGGGGGCTTCATGTCAGTGTAGAAGATATCTTGCTTATGAAGAAGGCAGTTAGCTATTGGAAAGGCCTGAGATAAGAATGGAGACCAGCCAAACCCACAGAATGCACCCTCCCTTCAGGATCTTAGTAGAGAGTGGGCTGCACTCCATGAAGCCAGGCAAAGAATGAATTTCCTCAGGCAACAAGGAATGCAGAGCACTTCCATGAGGATCCTGAGGGAGGGTGCAGTCACTCCCTACTAAGATCCTGTATTCTGAGGAAGGTTTAATGAAAATTAACCAGTTCTTTCTTGGATCCCAGTTTACTGTAAACACTGTGAAAGAGCTGGAGAGCCTGAATCCCAGTTGGTCACTTTAAATCCACAGTCCTGTGATAGGTGACCACTAATCAATGAAGCCCTATTTGCCTATAAGTAATTCCGAATTGAGAGGCCATGTGGCAACCTCCTCAGGACCCTCCTGTATCTCAGGGGCTATTCCTGTTCCCCCAATTAAGCTTTCCTACTCTTAACCTCCTTTGTCCTTTATAATTCATTCTTTGATTTCGGGGGACACAAACTGAGCACATCTGACATCTAGCAGGCTGGGAGCTATACTTCTTTATCAATAGCAACGTTAAAGTTTCAATTTTTGGAACATTTCAGATGTTATATAACTTGTATTAATCCAAATGATTACTGTTCATACAGAAACAAACTAAGAAAAATGAGCCACCTAAAGAACCAGACCAAGTATTCAAAGTCATTCTAGCTTCTAGGCTTTCAAAACAGTAAAGGAGAATGAATCAACAGCTAGATTAGGTATATCCTTTAAAGAACACAGGGTTCTTGATGAGGCATGGTGGCGTACACCTGTGATCCCAGTTCTCTGGAGCCTGAGGCCAGGAGGATCACTGCTAGTTTGAGGCCAACCTGGGCTACACATAATGAGTTCAGGGCCAGCCTGAACTACTAAAGGGAGATCCTGCCTCAAAAAACAAACAGCCAGGCGTGGTGGCGCAAGCCTGTAATCCCAGCACTCTGGGAGTCTGACCCAGGAGATAGCAAATTTGAGCCCAGCCTGGGTAATTTAAAACACTTAGCAAAACTGTCTCAAAATTTAAAAATTTAAAATGGGCTGGGGCTATAGCTTAGTGAAAAGGCCCTGGGTTCAAACTCTAGAACTACAAAAACTAAAGATTATTTTAACTCATAAAATGGCACAATTTTTTAAGACTGAAAATGTCAAGAATGGATGAGGATGCACGGGAGAAAGTGCTGCTCAGCACCGCTGAGAGTAGGATGTAGGATACAAGAAATAAAGGTAGGAGAAGCAGACAAGGAGATCAAGATTTTTAAAACTGTGGAGAAAAACTGCAGCTTTAGAACACAAGCCTGGCTTATCCACTTTTTCCCCTTTTCCCAAAACAGCAATGGGCAACTCCCTTGTAGCTGCCCAAATGAGTCCTCATCTACTGCTTGGGGTATCCCCAGGAATAGACCATTACCTCACCAGGGGTGGGCCACCCTCCCCCACCCACTAAAGCTACAGATTACCGAGAATTCCAGACTTTCACCTCCCAAAACACAGAAAGATCCCCAGTTCCCACTGCATCAACACCTGCATGCTTGAGTGCGTCCTGTACCTCCTTCTAATCCTTCTCTGGCCTCTTTTACTGACGTGTACAGAAAATTATTTTTCCTTGATGGGAGTCAGGGAACCTGCATACTTATTGCAAAGCAGGCAGTGGAACCACTGAGCTAAATCCCCAGCTCCCGCATACTTACTTCAAAGGGCTGGCTTACCTTCCTTATTTCAGACTCCAAAACCCTCAGACCCAGTCAGGTGACAGGGCTATAAAAACTTCCTATCTTCAATCCTTGGTAATTTTTCACTTCCCTGACTCTTACCTGAAGCCCCACTCCCACCCCACCCCCTCAATCCTGCAAAGGTGCAGTCACCTCTGCACAAATCCAAATGGCTCTCTCCCCTACTGTCAAGAGATGAAATCTCTAGTTAAAGTTAACTAGTGAATAAAATTTGTAGTTATTGAATAAGATCTGTTTGTATCTCTTTAACATCTAACTTATTTTTAAATCTTTGATCCTAGTGAATTAAAAAAACAAGTTGTCAGTATCTGCCTACATCCATATGTATGATAACATTTATTTAAACCAAATCACTCATATCATTAAGAATTTAGCTTCCCAAACCAGGCATGGTGGTGCATGCCTGTAATCCCAGCACTCCGGCAGCTGAGGCAGGAGGATTGCTGTGAGTTCGAGACCAACCTGAGCTAAATAGTGAGTTCCACGTCAGTCTCAACAACATAGTGAGACCCTGTCTCAAAAAAACAAAAAAAGACCGGGCAAGATGGCACATGCCTGTAATCCCAGCACTCCAGAGGTTGAGGCAGGAGGATCACTGTGAGTTTGAGACCAGCCTGAGCTACATAGTGAGACCCTGTCTCAAAAAACCAAAAAAAAAAAAAAAAAAAAAAGAGAGAGAGAACTTAGCTTCCTGTACAGTATATTTTTATGGGGAACTTAGGTACATCATCTTAATGAAATGCACAACTCATTCTGAGGAAAATATACCAAAGTATTCAACTTCAGAATTCATTTTTTAAAAAGAGAGGGGCCAGGTGTGGTGGCACATGCCTGTAATCCCAGCACTTGGGAACTTGGGAGGCTGAGGCAGGAGCATCATCATGAGTTCGAGGCCAGATTGGGCTACATGAGTTCAAAGTCAGCCTGAACTATAAAACAAGACCCTGCCTCAAAAGACAAAAAACAAAACAAAAAAACACGAAAGTTTTTAAGAATTAAATAAAAAGACTGATGTACAAATAGATATGTAATAAAGCAAATAAAGTGGTACCTTGGTTTACAAACTATTTGTTTTTCAATTTTGGGGAAGATGGCTGTGCATGTGTGCAGGTGAGGGGAGAGAGCCCTGTTCATGTTTGTCACCTGATGCTGAGTTTGCAGACAGAAGCAAAATTTTGCCAAATGCCTCTGTTTGCAAACTGAATTGTTTGCAAACTGAGAAGTTTATAAACCAAGGTATTCCTGTATAACAAAATTTTAATTGTAAATTTGAGGTGATGGGTATAAGGGTGTTCAATGTAAAATTTTTTCATCCTTTACCTTTTTCTTTAAATTTTTTTGGGGTGATTCCTGGGATCGAACTCAGGACTTTGAGCTTGCAAAGTAGGCACAGTGCCAATGAACTAAATCCCTGGCCCTACCTTTTTCAAATGTTCATGTTTTTACTACAGAGAAATGATGCTAGAGAAGACACATAACCCT